CTTCCCGCTCGGCGGAAGGGGTCCAGTTTCTTCTCTTCCACTATCGATTGCTCATTCTTCACTTCCGTATCGTCATTTTCGATATCTTTCGTCTGAATTCTTCAAGAGCGAAACTTGTCTCTCTGTTTCCACGGTTTTTTGATTTCGCAAAGACTCAAAGTTGTCACGTGTCTTTAATTTGAGTCGAAATTTTTTTTTCTTCTTCTTCAACTTGAATTAACCTTTCCTAATTCAGTTTTTTCCAGATAACGTCTTTAATTGTCAAATTCGCCGAGCTAGCTCTTTCTTCGCTACCAGTAAGGGCTGCTTTCTTCACTTGTAGCCTGCCCGCTCGGAGGAAGGGGTCCAGTTTCTTCTCTTCCACTATCGATTGCTCATTCTTCACTTCCGTAACGTCATTTTCAAAATTTTTCGTCTGAATTTTTTAAGAGTGAAATTTGTCTCTCTGTTTCCACGGTTTTTTGATTTCGCAAAGACTCAAAGTTGTCACGTGTCTTTAATTTGAGTCGAAATTTTTTTTTCTTCTTCAACTTGAATTAACCTTTCCTAATTCAGTTTTTTTCCAGATAACGTCATTAATTGTCAAAATTGACGTATCATACAATTATTTTCTCCTGAATAATGTCCAATATCGTCGAAACAGAGATCGACTGCATTTTGGTTGAAGGTCACACATGTGAGCTACCTGGCTTAGCAGGAAGTACATGAAACCCCTTTTGAACATGGCTGTGGGTAATCTACTTTCTAGAAGCAACGGCTTATGATTAGCACAGAAGAATGAAGTGGTCATAAGCGCATTTTTGGCAATCAATTTTGACAAAGCTTTGAGTGAAAGACTCTGGGAAGGTTATGGCTATAAACGTCTCTCAAATGATTGACATTCTAGAGGATTTCAGCTGAATTTCAAAAAACAATAGGAAGAAGATTTTTAAAATCTTTCCAGTAGAAAAGTAGGTTTGTTTGAATTGTTATCCTAAAGACTGTGGTTCGATCTTGGACGAGGAATTTAATATATAACAGAAAAAGCTTAGTAATGCATTTCGTGCAACAAAAGTGCGACTGTGAAGTGACCATAATAGGTGTGAAATTCTTCCTATGATACAAAAACGACTTTTTAGGACAGTTAAAACGATCAAAACGTGGTAATTCAATCCAACTTACAGTTCACCGTTGAAGCACCTAATGAAAACAGCGACTTGGCTTTTTAGCACATTCGTTTGAATACAGGTTGCAAAAAGCAAATTAGATAAAAAATAGTGCTAAAAACCACCAAGTACAGATGAAATTCTAAGTTCTAGATTTTGCGCTCCACTGCAATACAAGAGAAACATATTAGAGCATACGGTGCACAAGATTTATAGGAGAATATCTACATGGAAAAATTTAATTAAATCTATGCTGATCAATGAACAGCGAAGGAAGAAAAAACAGTACCCAGAGGATTGGTTGTGCAGAAGAGAACCAGGATCACTAAATAGAAGTCTTGGGACAAATTTACTACCAAATAGGAGGGCAGGTAAAGCAACAAATGGCAAACGGGGCAAGAAACCCGAAAAAATGCAGCCTTACCAACAAGCAAATTAGAAACCGAACACTAGAAACCGGTCTTCCCTAGCTTAACTCATCATTTGAGCGTGATCTGAATCCAATCAGGTCTACAAAATGTCCTGTTCAATGTAATTTTAACTATGTTGAACAAACTCTTCGACCTTTGGCACAAAGATTGAAGAAAACAAGAAAAAGGACAAACCAGCAGGCGTACACATAGCAAGCAACCATTGCACAGAGATAAACATCAGAAAAATGGGCCGGCGCCTGGAGCTGCAACAACTGGGCCGCCGCCTGGAGCTGCAAAAATGGTTCTGCACCTAGAGCTGCTACAAAATGGCCTGCCCCTGGAGCTGCAGCAACTGGGCCGGCGCCTGGAGCTGCAAAAACTGCAACAGGGCCTGCGTCTAGAGCTGCAGCATTTCGGCCTGCGTCGAGAGCTGCATCAACTGGGCCGGCGCCTGGAGGTGCAACAACTGGGACGCCGCCGGGAGCTGCAAAATGGTTCTGCACCTAGAGCTGCTACAAGGCCTGCCCCTGGAGCTGCAGCAACTGGGCCGGCGCCTGGATTTGTAAAAACTCAAACAGGGCCGGCGTCTAGAGCTGCAGCATTTGGGCCTGCGCCGGGAGCTGCAACAACTGGGCTGGTGCCTGGAGCTGCAACAACTGGGCCTGCGACGGGAGCTACGTTAACTGAGCCTACACCGGTAGCTGCAGCACCTCTCATTAAGAATTAAAGACCTATAAGCTGATAAATCTTTTCTCTGAAACTCAGAACTTCCCGAAAATTAGTACTATGACATGTTTCGATCTGATTATGATTTTATTTTTTTTTATTCTGTTTTATTACTTTTCGAAGATTTGCCAAAAATCTACTCAGGATACCTTGATCAACCTGCGATTGCTTTTCAAGAACAAGAATCCACATTTTTGATGCGTCCATTGCCTGATGTTTGGAATTGGTATGCTTTGGTGGTCCACTCACCAGACTAAAATTGAATTGTTCTCGGGTTGTATTCTTCAACAATATATACTCGTCAGCGTGTCGGAGATCCAATGTTGTGATGCATACCATTTCTTAATCGTTGAGTCCTAACGTCTGTGCGACCAACGCCTGTGCGACCAACGCCTGTGCGACCAAGATATTGGCCGATCTTTTTTAATTCTGCTGCCAAATTTTCTATTCGATCTTTCTTCACCGTAAAAAATAAAGCTGCTATCATAAAATGCCAAAAAAAAGTTGTAGAAGTATAATTGAGTTTGTTGCGAATGAAAATAGTATAACACCGCATCAATTGGTTGAAAAAATAAAGTATGAACAGTTGATGCCATTTTAGATGTTGTAGAAGACGTGAACTATAGACTTAAAATCAATTATGTTGTAGCATGCGCATTTGAAGATCTTTCGAAAGCTTTTGATGCGATAGATCATGGAACTATTCCCGGAAATTTTATGCTTACGGCTTAAGATTTCCCGTCCTCTTAATTTTGAAATCTTATTCAAACAGATATCAAAACGTAGGAATTAACAATAGCCAATGAAAGCAGCAGCAATTACTTCGTGCTTTTCCATAGGGATCAGTTTTATGGCCTTTATTTTTTTGTTATATGTGAATGATCTGCCTAATGTTTATGCAAGCAGCTGTGTGACACTTTTCGCAGACGATACAAGTATTTCCATGTGCTTTTTTGAAAGCTGTTTATAATTTTATTATAAAAATGCGAAACATAACCAAATGGATGGAAAAAGGAAAAACCAAAAATTTGTCTTTCCTCTTGGTAGAAAACAGCCACTTTAACATCCAGTATCGATATAAGAATTCATGAGGCAGAATATAAAGAAGAAATGAAGTTTTTTGGTGTAGTTTTAGATAATTATAAGCAGCTCACTTATAAAACACTCTCTAAGCTCGCGGCAAAAATTTACCAATACCAATGTTATTTTCATCAAAAAAATTTGTTAGCTTTTATACAGCATATGTAGAACGGTATTGCAAAATGGAGTTCTATTATGTGGATTAACAAAAAATACAGAGTTGAAAAAACAGGATTATCTTTAAATTGTTTTTTACGCATTAACTTAAAAAAAACGAATAGTTTGAGAAAAAAAAACAATCACAAATTATACTCAAGCAAAGAATTTTACGTCTATGAATTAAGTAAAACTTTAACGAAAGGATTAGGAAATGAATATCCCTGCTCCAAAATTAGCAACGTTATTTCAAATGAAGAAAACGATGAATGTATCAACCAGAAAAACAGAAACAAAGGCTTAGAAAAAATGACAACTAAATTCAGAGCACTACTACAGGAATAAGAAACCAATTTTTTTTCTCAGGTTCGATGAAAGTTTTATAAATGAACCTATGCAGTTATGAGAAAAAGAGTTGTTAAAATTGGTACCTATATTTCGAGATTTGTTCATATCAAACCAGATTTTAATGAGTTATTCTGGTAAAATTTGAAAACAGGAATGTTCAAATATTACCATTCATATTTTACCGCACATAAATAGGTTTTAGAACTATTATTTCTCACTGCCATTTTTCTATTAATCACGTGCGCTATACAAAAAAACGCTAATATAACTTTGCTTTTGAGGCGTCCTCGACAGGCTCACTGCCTTCTGACGTCCTTCCATAAGTAGTAACTGTAAAAAACTTGGAAACGAAATTATTGTTCATTTATTATCACTGCGTTTTTGTTTTGTGACGTGGTGTTGAGCGCTCAGGTAGATGATTTCTTGTTTTACTGTCTTTACCTTAAAGGTCTTTTTTATTGATATCTGTTTTCCGTACACGGAAAATTGATCTGCAAAATAGTGTGCGTAGAACTTGGCAGATTTTCTTGAAACTTTGAATGCTAATGAAAAATTTTGGTGGGATGATAATTTTTTTTGGTGTTCTTGTTTCTGCTCATAGTTCTTCTAATATCTTTCAGCTTAGCATATTGTCTGCAAATATTTGTAAATATGTGAATATTGGCTGTAAACATTTTTCTGTTTCTGCTCATAGATCCTTTCTGCTCTTAGACCATTCTATTTATTGGTTGGCCCCCAATTTTTGCAAGTATAAAAAGCGCCTTCGTCATCCAAAGTCGTAGGGTCACCAGCCATAAAATAGTACCATAGGAGAACTTTTAGGGTGGATGCTGGGTCGAATCACTGAGGGAAAATTTTCTTCTGTCTGTAAACATCTTTTGAGCACAAATTGGCTCGGCTTCTAAAAGGTTTCAAAAAGATTCAAATTGTTTTGGCTCCTAAAAATCTAGAAAATAAGGCTGCCTAGCACATTTTCACAACTTTTTTTTAAAAAGACGTACATTTATTTAAGCTATATCTATCCTGGCGTTATTTATGTTTCAGCTTGAACAAACTTTACTTACTATTAGCATAGAACATATTAGTTTATTTTGCTTACACTTTCTCAGTTATTTCAGTTATGAAACCGATTTCGTTGGAGACAAGCATGTTTTTCACCATTTTGTTCTTACATTTTTCTATATTTCACCAAACTTTTGTCAAAGACGTCGAAGCTGTTTCAGAAGATCAGGTTATTAACAACACAATGCAATCGCATTGGTATTCAACTATGTTTATTATACCAGTGGAGTTGCCCTATAACATTGTATGTTCAAGTTGCAGATCAATCAGGTCCAAATTCAAAAGCATTCTGAGATAAAATTTTGTGAAAAGCCTTGACAGATTTTTCTTTTCGTGAAGTTTAACTATTATTGTTGCATCCATGGGTTGACCTCCATAGATCAAAAAAGCTAATCATGCTATTTATATACCAAGTCTATAATAAAATCTAGTCGTAAAAGTTTCATAAGTTTTTTGCTATATGGATGGAATCGAAATTCAAAAGAATATCTGTTGTATGATCAGCATTTTTTTTCGGCAAAAAAATTGCTACTTATACAATTTCCAATTTCCATAAATAAAGTTCCATGCAATTTTTTGGCGGCAAAAATGTTGTCCAAGTCGTTTTTAAAATGCCCCAACAAAATTTTTGTATCTTTCTAGGGCCTCAAACTAATTTTGTTTTCAAGTAAACGTTTTCCGAACTTTTTGCGCACGAAATTTTTTTTTGTGCATAACGTAAGTCCTGGATGCGCAAAAGTTGCATCATTTTTAGATTTGCTTGTTAATTTTTCTAAAACGCTTAAAAAATCTATTTTTTTTTAAATTGCTCACTGAGATATGTCCTGTGCTATGAGTGGGGAACTCACAACTTCATGTTTGAACAATTTAATTTGTTTGTGTGATTCGTCTTTAATCAGGTCGTTCTCAATGCAAAATAAGATGCAAGACTGTAAAACATTTTATGATCAAGCTTTGAGTAACCAGGGTCTTCCACTTCTTTTAGTTTACAACAAAATTCATAAAGGTTTAAGAAGTTCAAAGAGAAAACACAAATTTTTGGTTTATGGAAGGAAATCCAGTAATAAAATTTCCACAAACAAAAAAATTTTTACCACATACTTTTATGAGCAAGTTTGTATGATTAGCAAGCGACTGCTTGGTGTTTTTAGAATTTCCTTGTAGATTATAGCAGAAAACTTAGATCTCTTCATTTTTTTTGCTCATCTTAAACAAATATCATTTTTGTAGTAAGTTTACAATATTTTCACCGTTTTTCTGCTCATCTTAAATTTTTTTTATTTTTGTAGTAAATTTACAATATTTTCACTGTTAAAAATTTCGTTTCAGAAGAAATTATTGTTTTGGGGCAAGAACTTGGTCCAGATTTTTGCAAAGAAAAAGTTGCACCTTATTATTTTTGCTAGGTCTCTCTGTTTTGTCTTCAACATTATTCGGCTAAAATCAACCCATTTTGAGAAAAACACATTTTATTTTTCAAGTTTTTTTTTCGTTTTGTCTGAATAATTTAAGTTGGCACTATACGAAAAAAAATTTTTTCTTATTACGTTTCATTTGTGCAAAATATAAATCGTTTTTTTTTTCATTTTGAAATTTTTCTTTGAGCTCAAACTAATCCAACGTCTTTCTTGGCTTATGTCTAATAGGTGCTGCACAAGAATGCCGAAAAACATCACTGCCAAAATTTTTAAAGTTCTCGAGATTGCCAAAAGTTTTCTAAAAAAAATATGTTTATACGAAGGCGTAGGAAAAAATAAGCAACAAACACTAAGGTAAATAATAGAAAAAACTTAAGATAGCGCCAAAAATAGTTGTTGTTTCATCGCTATAAAATTATCCAAAGATAAAAATTTGAGAGCAATCAATTATGCGGCCAACTACTAATTTTTTTCTTCTAGTTCATCATTTGTTCGCTTTTGGCTCTACTGTGCTTCGGCAATCTTGAACGCGCCGGTATTATATAGCTAATTCTACTTCGGGAAAAACTGCGGCTATGATCTGTGTAATAGCTATTTCAGAGATCATAGTTACAGTTATTCCCAAAAGCGTAGAATTAGCTATGAAATACCGGCGCGTTCAAGATTGCCGAAGTACAAGAGAGCCAGAAGCAAAGAAGAGCTTAACGAGAAGTAACAAAAATTGAAAGTTCTGGATTTAATTCAGCTTCGTGTTATTTTTCTAATGCATTAACTTTGCAGCAATAGTGAACGTTAAGCACATCAATCTTTCAAATTATTTTCGGGAAATGTTTTAAACCTAAGCAATTGATTCCAGGATCCAAAAAAAATTGTGCTTCTGAAATGCAGGCAGATTCCTCCACCAAAGGGCTTTGACAACAAAATGGCATTGAAAATAGATGGAAAAACTTTATGTCCAAAGTAACCACGTTTCTTTTTTCAAAGCACCCAAATCTCCCAGAACAGGTCGTGATGTTTTTATTGCTCAAAGGTGATGAATAAATCCTCAAAACACCAACTTGACTAAGAAAATTTAGTGTTTTATAAGCTACTGAAGACCGAAACATATAAACTCATAGATGCTTTAAATATTTTTATGGCACAATTTAGTTAGGTACGTTTGCTTCAATTTGAACCTTTTCAGTCGCTATTACTGCTTGCAATCTTTTGTTTTGGGCCAAGGGGAGCCTCCAAACCCAGCGCTTATGCTAAGATTTGAAATCTTCGACAAAGCAGTTGAAAATACGCACACTATTAAACGATTGGCTTGTCAAGAATGTGCGAAAATTTTGGAGCCACTGCGTAAACAGCACAACCTTTTCTCAGCGAAACATGGGTTGTTTAACCAGTACTGCAACTATTTTACTTTGGGATTCACAAATGCGTTATTGACTCCAAAAGAGTATTTTGATAAACTAACTGATTACAGCGCGAAAAACAAAAGTTTGAATTATTTGATGGCTTATTACTCGGCGCCATGTGAAGTCAATGTAATTATTAAACTTGGTTTCGGAATCGGCGAATTACAACGAGACGTTGACCGATTTGGATTGCCAGCGCAACGAACTGGGATCCCGTACCAACTAAAAGTGAATCAATTTCAAAAAGGCATCTCTATTTTGCCTTAACAACATAAAACAAGACTAAATGTGCCAGGCTAAGCCTCGAATATTTCGTCTGACCTTTTGCTGTTATTGGGTGTAAGCAGTTTTTGGGTAAACAATTTTGATGAAAGTTCTATAAAAAACAAAAAAATCAAGTTCAGTTTTTAAAAAATCTTGTCCTTAAGCACAATTTTAAGATAAAAGTGATACATTTCAAGTTTAGGTCTTGTAAAGTATTTTTTGTTACAACAATTTTAACTTTCCGCAATTTAGGTTGAGATATTTGGTATGGAAGAAAAATTTAATTTAGTTGTGAGCTGGATTAATCAACTGGGCAGATATAGCGGTAATATAAATCATTAGGCAATTTATGCGAAAAGACGTTCAACATATAAAAATTGTTGGATCTTGCGTTTTAACAACACAAAAGTTTTCAAGTTTTCCTAGAAATGAAAATTAATTGGAAAAAAAGATGTCCCCTTGAACCCTTGAAATTGTTCTTTGATTTATTGAGGTAGGACACCATTGGACGCCCAAAATACCCTTTGAAAACCCTGGAGACTTTTTGACTTTCAAATGGTTCAAGAAAAACGTTATTTGTGCTGACCAACCCTGGATCTGCAGCGATGGATCAGAAAACCAACGAGAAGATTGGAGTGCATGGTTTTGGAGATTGTTCAATGGCTATTTTGAAAGACCCAACTTCGACTGATTAATTCATTTTTGCTCCGACTTTCGAAGAAAGTGAGGAATATATATGCTAGGGGTGTTTTTATTCAAACCAATTTATAAAACTCTGGTCCATCGGTCCACTACAAAATCGTTCTAATTTGAGTTGAGAT